AACTGTAGTCCGTGGATCGAGATTCAGACAGAAAGTAAAAGTTTATTAACAAAAAGCAAACAAACACATACAAATTTAAAAAGAACGCCATCTGGCGGTATAAAAAGAAAAAGACTTCGTAGCTATCCTTCCCAGGGAATGACAACAATAATTTTATGGCATAAATCAGTATTTACAATAAACGTGCGTTGGTTATTAAACCAAATGAAATGTTCAAATCAAGATTTAGATGTTGTCATATAAATTCATTAAAAATAAAAAAATAAGTAAATAAATGAAAATTTTAAAATTAAATTTTTGAATAAATATTTAATCCAACCTTTTATTGATGCAAGTTTTGGTAAAAACAAAAATAATTAACTGACGACATTGTAGAACTAGAAAATATTTTTCAAGCAGAGAAGTACGATAGCACCCTTTTCAGGAAAAAAAAATTAGTTTATTTTTTTGTTTAAATTTTTCTTAAATTTTACTACACAGTTCTATATCTACACATATATCAAAAACTGTTTTCAAAATGCAACAGAAATATTCTCAGTTACGTTTTGAAACTATAAAATAATAGTTTAAATTTATATATTAAAATGTGGGATTTTTTGTAATTGGTGTATAAAAATAGTTCCAAAATACCACAAAAACTTTTATTTACTGCTAAAACACTGCATGATATTTTTAAGGCTACACCACAGAGGCATTTTTGAAATAATACATAAGTTTATGTAATTTTTTTGGAGAGTGAATTTCTGAAAAATTAATTGTGTTTTTTGTGTTTAACGTTTCTATTACAATTTAGATTTTGATAAAAGCGTAAAGATTTCATGTCAGTACGTGTATTATGTGCAAAAAAGGTCCCAGAAAGTGCAAAAAAAGGTTTTTATAGGTACCAGAAGCATTTTTATTTACTACCTAAAAGATATAAACACTCGCTTTAGGGGAACTAATATTTAACCTTCCACTTATACTTGCGAAATGTTTAAACAACAATGCAAAGACGTTTCAAATATTATAACGTTAAATATATGTGTGTCATACTTATTTATTAGAAATAAAGAAAACAAAACATAAAGGTCCCTTTTCTACATTCCGTCTTTCATTAACAATAATAAAAATATTGCATG